TCTCTCATTCTCTCTCTCAAATAAATAAAATCTTAAAAAAAAATTAAAAAAATAAAAAAGAAGAAGAAACCAAAGACAGCGTTGGGAAGGATTGTCCAACCCCCTTTATGCTCCGCTCACAGCCACACGAGGGTCTCCTCCTCCTCTTTCCCTTCCTCCTCCCAGGGATGCGCACACAGGCCACTCCCTCTGCCCAGTCTGACCTTCTCCATCCTCCCCCAGGTCGCTTCCTTCTCAGAGACTCCAAATGTCCCCCACCTCCAGGCCTTATTCACCGTTTGGGAGTACTACATACTTCCTAGTACCTAGTACCAGCATTTCAGGTTCACACTGATGTTTCTGTGTTTTTGGTTAAATCTGACTTCCACTTTGGGGTAAAAGCTGTAGAGACAGTATAGCCCCCAGTACCCATGACAGGGTACACGTCATAAACATGTGAATGACCAGCAAATAAACGAACACAGTCTATACACTCTTCCTCACTGGCTCTGGGGCCGCAGGGACACCCCCGCAGCACCTCTGTCACCTCTGCCCCTGCCATCTGGCTCCAGCCACACTGGCCTCCCTGCTGATCCTGAATCCTCCAGGCACACTCCTACTTCTGTGCCTTGGCACATGCTGTTCCCACCACTTAGAAAGCATGTCCCCGACACTGACGCAGCTTGCTACTTCACTTCATTCAAGTCTTACATCAAATGTCACCATTTCAGAGAGTTCTCTGCTAAGTACCCAAACTAAAATAGCCCACACTGTAACTGTTCATCCATCTCTCTGCTTCACTGTGCTTCATTGCATTTATAACAATCCGGCAGGGTGTTAAATATTAAATCTAATTATCCCTTATGGTCCATTTCTCTGTACCTAGACAGTAAGCCCAAGGGAGGGCAGGGATTTTGTTCTGTTTGATATGCTACATCCTCAGCCTCAAGAGTACTGCAGGCCTTCGATAAATGTTTGTGCACAGACGTATCAGCACCAACATCCACGCAGAGAGAGAAAAGCGAAAAGTAAAAAACAGAGGGTTAAAGCCCACCCCCTTCCAATCTTAAAAACCATTAGCATAACAAACTCTTAGGTGTATGCATGGGCGTTAACCACATTTTATTTTCTTAATAAATGAGAGGAATGAGTGAACATTCTCAAACCTCTGACTAATAAAGCAGATGACATTGACAATGAACCATAAACAATGTATGGATACAGGCTTGCCTGTCCTTTCATTCATAAAATAAACACAGCGAATATGACTTTAAAAATAAAGAAAACGTTATTTGAAGAGCAATAAACTTTATGCACTGCACTAAAACCTCCATGTGTTTATCCCAGCATGTGTATTTGACAATTAAAAAAAAAAAATGGTCAAGGGCTTACTTACCCATTCTCCTAAAATCTGTGACACAGCTTCATTGGCCCTTGTCACATTCCTACAGGCAAGGATCACGTGTGCACCATGGAGGGCAAAAGACTTGGCAGTTTCAAACCCTATGGTTTAAAGGAAAGTCAACATTAGAAGACACAATGCAAAACACTGACTCACCTGAAGGGCCTTTATTGAGCACCGCGCACATTGCCCCAGCGGCTCTCAGCCAGAGGCAATTTGTCCCCTGGTAGACAGCTGCAAATGTCTAGAGACATTTTCAGTGGTCATGACTGGGGACAGGGTGCTACTGGCCTCTAGTGTGTAAAGGTCAGGGGTGCTACGAAATACCCTACAAAGCACAGGACAGTGCCCACAACAAAGAATCATCTGGCCTGAAGTGTCAACACTGTTGAGGTTGAGAAAACCTAGCCCAGGAACACACCATCCCCAAGGCGTAGGACAAACCATAGGAGAGCTCACAGCACAGTCCACCATATATAACAACCGCCTAGTGAGAAGATCCTGTGTGAAATATAAAGAATAAGGATGTATAAAGACTCAGACATGGCCACTGCCCTTGAAGAGTTCACACTCATTATAATAAGAAAAAACAGACCTGCAAAGGAAAACAAACATACAACACTTTTATTATATTCTGGACAATGCACTCTGCACTGTGCTACACGCATCCAAAAATGGCAGCCTGGGGTTCTTACACCCACCCTCCCACTGAGAACAATTAGAAGAGCTAGACCAAACAACACACATGCACACACATGCACACATCCTTGAAGGCACAGAGGGACACTATGACTGAGGATTTGGGGACCTGGAAAAGCGGGAAAGCCAAGAGAGATGAGCCAGCTTTGGTGCTGCCATGCCCAGTGAAGGTATTCTTCAAAAGTAAAGGTGAACAAATTTTTAAACAAACCAAACAAGACAAAGGAAAAGCTGAGAGGCTATGTCACCATCTATGGCCAGATCTGGCCTAGAGGAGACATTCAAGGATGCTCTTCAAGCAGGAGGAAAACGACCCTCGAAATCTGGAGGTGCAGGAAGTAACAAGGAGTAACACAAAGGTAAGTTTATGGAAAAATCGAAATAACAATAATAGCTTGCAAATTTTGGAATACGTAGAATTACTCTGTTGATAATAACAATGCATAATCTAGGAAAAATTCTATATATTTAAAGAAAAGCCTCAAAATGAAAACTCTGGATCCATGTTTTGAACAGAAAGGCTACCAAACATTTAAGAAAATAAAAACACCTATCTTCCAAAAATTCTTCCACATAATAGAAAAAGCAAAAAAACCCAACTGTTTTATAAGCCTCAAACTCTTTAGTCATTAGGGAAGTGTAAAGATACAATGAGATTAAAAAAATAATAATAAAATTAAAAAGATTCAATTAGATACTACTACATTCCCATTACTACAATGGCTAAACATTAAAATGACCAGACCAAACATTGGCAAGAATGTGGAACAACTAGAACCCTTATAAAGTCTAATTCCAGAGCCTAAAGCCTACACCACTGCTCTCAGGCACCTCTTGTAAGCTGCATGGAAGACCACACGACTGCACCAAACAACAAACCAATCAGTCCTACTAGAGGGAGCAGCAATGTGATTCAGCCAAAGCCATGTCAAATGACCACAGATGACTGTTTCCAAGATACTGTTTATATGTACACAAAATCAGAGTACCATTATCTTACGGAGATTGCCATGTGAAAGAGTCTAGCAAAGTTCACTCATTCATATCTTCCATATATCTAATCTTCATGGAGGCCAGTCTATTTATATAAACTAGCTCTCGGGGGAAGCCAGCACAGATCACAGTGGGAAACTCAAACTCAGGAGTTTGACATACCAATGTTGACCCCAGCTCTAGCTATTTATAAGCTGTGGACTATGCCTTTAACCCCGTCAGAAACTCAGAGATCTTTTCTTAAAATGAGGAGTAAGTAGTTAACTTACACTAAGAGCCTAATATAACAAAAGTAGGTGGAAAACAAGTGTTAATTCCCATTCTTTACAATATCTTTGGTGTAAAGTTCCTGTGTCTCCTCTGTGATTTGTATGATCTATCAAATACAGCACAGTCATTACAACTGAAAAGTTAACAATCTCTCCTCGATCTGCTCCCAGCAGCAACCCAAGAGCTGACTGGCTTTAATATCAACCAGAATTTGAAGAAATTAGCTACAAGACCCACCATTCCATTTGTGTGAATATTGGCTCTGGAACACACGTGAACTTCACTGTTGAGATAACTTGAGTTATTTTTCAGATAATGCCAAGTTCTATATCCCGAGATATTCACTTTACCATTATCTAAGGACAACATCCTATACTTGAATCTGATGCTAACATGATGCCCAAAGGAATTCCGATCTGAAATACTTAACATCTACATCAGTTTGCAACCTCCTTGGTGTATGTAATGAAAGCAGGCTGAAGCTGTATCTTCTTGAGGCAAGAAGTAAAACACCAGGTTTTGTAGCTCAGCGGGGGTGGATGGGGACAGGCATAGGACGAAATCTTGCTGACTGATGTGCTACATCAATCAGACTAATGAAATGCTGACGGCCATATGGAGGGAACGTAAAGTGGCCAAAAATGACTTCACCTGCACTCCCAGAAGATCTTGTTGAGATGGTGGACTCTGCGTCCCTGCGAAATGTCCAGGTCAGAGCAATTATCAATAATATTTTTCATCACATTTTCAACAGAGGATAGAAAAAGAAAAAAAAAAATGATGTTGGGAAAGATGGCGGACACAATGCTTGGTCATTCGTTAGCAACCATCTTTTTAAGGGGCCGAGAGGGCATGGAGACAATGCAGGGCCAGGCTGACCCCGAGGCTCCATCTATTGAATTTAGAAGTTCAAATATAAACTCCTTAGAATCTGTGCCTTTTTGATCCCTGTGTCCCATGGGACTAACACCCAGTGGGATTCAACAAATACCTGCCAGGGTCGTATAGGTTGTTCGTAGGCTACAATTCTGGACTACTGCAAAACAATCCAAGTTGTTTCAAACAACATTGATGGCCCTCTGACTTCCTTTTTTAACAATGAATAATTATTAAGATCCTGCAAAGACAGGGCTCACAGCGGTTTTGAATGACACCAGCTAGAAATCCGTGGGGAAGAGCATGTCCGTTTCCTATCAAAATTTATTTTCCCAGGGGCGCCTGGGTGGCTCAGTCGTTAAGCGTCTGCCTTCGGCTCAGGTCGTGATCCCAGGGTCCTGGGATCGAGCCCCACATCGGGCTCCCTGCTCGGCAGGAAGCCTGCTTCTCCCTCTCCCACTCCCTCTGCTTGTGTTCCCTCTTTCACTGTGTCCCTCTCTGTCAAATAAATAAAATCCTTAAAAAAAAAAAAAATTTATCTTCCCAAACAAACCTGTTTAAGTCACACTATCTCAGTTGACAAAATGACCTACGGCAAAGGACTTTTTATTACAAAAAGGAAGGCGCCCGACGTGATGACAGCATCAGGCTGCAGCCACAAGTCTGCACCCTCTCTGTTTCACAGAATCCCTGCCTGTGGTTACAGTTCAGCCATCTACCTGCGTCGCGTAAAATGACCCTCTGGCTCTTACGTCTTCCCTTATCTGAGCAACACGTTACACGTTGCGGGTCTCCTTTTAAAAGCTGTGAGAGATAGCTCCATTTTCTTATCCTTTACAAGTGCCTTTGGAGCCAAAACCAAAGCATGGATATTTCAAAAGATGAAGGTTTAACAGGAAGGATAATAACACTCTCCTAGTAAACCGTATCTCTAGAGTGTGGAGTTTTATGAAGGAAAAAAAAAAAGAAAGAAAGAAAAAGAAAAGAAAAAAAAAGTTTAATAATGCTACCTACTGCTCAAGTAGGTAGAATAGCATCCCTCATGCTCCTAATACCTGAGAATAGCATCCCTCATGCTCCTAATACCACGGCTGATGACCAGCTTAATTAGCTAAATGTAGTAGTGCTGAGCCAATTCTGCAGAGTGCCGAAGTTTGTGCAAAACAATGAAAGCAATGGTTTACTAAATTTAATAACCTGATTCATCTTATAAAAAATTAACTTTATGACAATGTTTAAATTGAACCAGCTTAACTGCATGGAGGTGGTGAGTGCGTTCAGAAGAATACTTAAAGCTAATAATATAAAGAAAATAGAAGACATTTTAGAACAACGGGCAGCATCTGCTTTCCAGCCCTTGTTACATCTGATCCAATCAGGAAGATTAAGTGGCCACGAAGGTTTAATATCTTGCTGTCGAGTTTTAAGCTTTGCATACAAACATTAAAGTACCATAAAAGGGAAAACATATCCCCCCCCCCAAAAAAATACTAAATACCCGCTTGTCTCACACAAGTTTTCATTCTCAAGAATGAAGGTTACAGGCTGGTGATCACGGGATAAATCAAACCCGTGGCCTGTTTTGTTCAGCTCAAACATTGTTTCCCTCCCTCCTCCTCTCCCTTCCTTTCCTTCCTCCCCTCTTCCACCTCCCACCCTCTCTTCCTCCCTTCTTTCCTCATATGAATTAGTTACCAGCATTAAAAGCCCAGAAAATGACATATCTAAGGGCGGATGTCCAACATCTCTGAAAAAGCTTACAAGTGGACCACACTGGGCCCCCATCCCACGGTTGCCACAGGCTAGAGACATGGGGTCTGTGTCCTCCTGTTGGCCCCGGTCACCACCCATGCTGCTGACTTCACCTGCCAGACCACTGCGGGCATCTGATGCTCAGACGCACATTATACAGGTAAGATTCACGCTAGAGACAATGCTCCAGCCTTGCCACAAAACTGCCACAATCAGAATTTTCACATCCGAATTGTTGCACCTCAAAGAATGTGTCACACTGACCTGCTCAAGATTTGACTGAAACCCTGTCAAGCCCCACTCAGTCAGGCATAAGAAGATCAGGACGCCAGCTACCCCCCGGAAGGCCTAGCAGCAGCGCTCAACCCTACACAAAGCAACACAGGGTGACAACTCAGGGACCCGCAGGAATTAGGATATATGTGGTGCACGTTTTGTGACCCACCTTCTTGGCATTTCCCAAATGCCACTGAGCGGTAGCAGAAACTGTGGGCGAGAGCTATGCTGTGAC